GCTTGTCCCTTGCCTGGGTTCCCCGGCTGTTCTCCTAGCCCAGTGTGGGTGCAGCAGGGCTGGTGGGATGTTCTCGTGGCTGGGGGTCCTGTTGCTGACTGCTCTCCGTTGTGAAGGCTCGGTGTCCTTGCTGCTGAGTTGAGGGGAGAAGTGGTGGCCCAAGAGAGAGACTCCATCCCCAGGGAAAGGGAACACTGTTCCCTGGGAAGCAGCAAACTGCCAGGCTGAATTCCCTGTATGAGCCAGAAAGAAGGGGCAGGGAAGTTGTGGGGGGGGTACTCCAGCTTCTGGCTTGCTGGGTGCTGGTGGAGGGGAGGTGCCGTGTGCCTCAGCACCTGACATGGCAACGAGGACATGTGGCTGTGATGTCAGTGGAGGCATCATCTGCGCAGGGCGTCTGTGCCAGGCAGGGGCATTGCCGTGAGGCGTGGGCAGTGGGTGGGACCACAGTGGGTCTCAACGTAGCAGAGGGGCTGGATGCAGCTGTGCCCAGAGCTGAGGGAGCCCCTGTGCCCACTGCTGGCAGCAGCTCCTGCCTGGGCAGCCCTGATTGCTCTCCCTTCTCCCTACCCCTCACTTGCAGAGGAGCTGCAGTCGCAACACAGGCCAGCACATGATGCAGAGAAGGGTGAGTACAAGCAGCGTGCTGCTGCCACATCTCGGTGCCCAAGGGAGCCTTGGCTGGGGGTTGGTGTTCGCGAAGGTCAAGTCTGCCTTGCTGAAGACTTCCCGTGCTGTGCCGAGAAGGGCCACGGTGGGAGCGGTGCAGCATGGGCAGCCAGGCAGGGAGTATGGGCCATGTCTGGCTCCAAAGAGTCCCAGGAGGCCAGTACGCACGCCCTCTGAAAGAGGGATGTGCTGTGCCCCTGTCCTCCCCTGTTTCTGGTTGAGGACTCATGGGGCAAGACCTCCTTGCAGATCCCAATGGCAACGGTGCCACAAGACACGAGGGCTTTGCTGCTCCTGTCACACCCATGGTCCCTGGCGGATGATTTGGCCCCCTGTCTTCCTTGCAGTTCTGGTGCTAAGCAAGGTGCTCATTCATGCCCCTCTTTCCTTACAGAAAACCAGAAGGAGATGGGTGAGTGTCGCTGTCTCCTTGAGTGCCGTGTGTGCAAGCGGATGGTGGGGTGTGGTGCCAGGATGGGACAGTGGAGGACAAGTCACCCCTGACCCTGTGAGACATAGCCAGGAGAGCCTGCAGTGTGAGCGTGCCTGGTGTCAGGAATGCTGAGAGACAGCTGGGTTGGAGGCACTCTCTCCCTGCTTTCCCTCTGCTTTCTTCCACCAAATAATCCCCAGGAAAGGGCGTCTAGTGGCAGCCGTGGCCCTTGCCACAAGTGAGATTTGAGGTTGCCATGGCGGGTGGCTGGTGGTGTCCAGGCTGGTGGAGGCTTTGGTGCAGGCAGGAGCATGAAGGAAGGAGGTGTTGAGGGAAGGCCACGGTGTGGCTGATGGGGTGGAGAGCCTAGGTCCCTGGCCAGCCCTGCGTTCTGGTAGGGCCGTGGGTGTCGGTGGTTGGTGGCAACAATCCCAGGCGGAAGCCCGTGAGGATGAACTCCACGGAGCGTGACCCATCCACGCCATGCGAGAGGAGTTTTTCATCCTTCCCTGGGGTGGACAGTCCCAGAGTGGACTGGCTTGCAAGGACCCTGTGGGTCTTGCCCTGACTTAAGGTCTTCTTTGTCTTCTTCTCCTGTGACCATGGTGACTCGGCAGAGGAACTGCATGCAAGGAACGGTGAGTCTTTCTGCTTGCCCACATGCCTTCCTTCCGCTCGGGGATAGAGGCCTTGGGGCGGGTGAGGAGGGACGCTCCAGCAATGCCAGCTGCTCCCAAGTGCCACGTCGAGAGACCCTGCCAGTGCCCAAGGCTCAACATGGCAG